ATATTGTGGTTATTTATGAGGATGTTCTTTTGCTTAAGAGATTCATGTTGGTTGTTTGGAACAAAATGACTTTCAAATGGCTTATAAGAATACATACATGTAAACCTGAAGAAAATATTTACAATTGATAAATCCAGATGAATAGTATAGTGTTCATTATATTATTTTTCTAAATATTTGAAATATGTGAAATTAAAATATTTGGAAGGTGGAGGAGGAAAGATTCTATCTTCAGGATACTATTTTCTGAGAAGAGTTCAGAATACAAATCACAATGGCTCAAAGACTGGAACTCACTATAAGCAAAAAGCTATGTGTATGCAAATACCTTGTTTACCCTCAACCACTGAAAAACACAATATAACAAGAAAGCTAACAAATTCCTGACTGGAAAGTGGGCTGGACAATTTTTAACACTTGATCCAGAAAAACAATATTTATGAATAAGAGTCCTACAGTCCCAATTAGATGAATTCTCAGTGACTCTCACCAGTGGTCCATTTATTCACACATAACAGGCATTTCCTGAAAAGCTACACATGCCAGACTTTCTGCGGGAGTCTATCATGGACAAGCACCTCATGATTTTGACCTTCAGAATTGCATTCACTTTCTCCTGAAAGAGTGCCTAACTGGCAGTTCTGGCTCAGTTGTCTATCTGAAGAAATGATAGACAAGCACATAGAGTAACAAACAGGTAAACACATAAACAAATGACATAAAATAAGAGGACATGCACAGTGTTATGCTGGGTCTGGTAATATTGTGTAGAGTATCTGGTTGGCCAGGTAAGGAAGTGTTGGGTGTGGGATGGAGAGGATACTGTGGCAGCACACATACACAGGAATTAGAGGAAAGGAAAGCTTCCATTTCATTTTGTCTAGTTGTCAGTGATGTCAGAGGTGAGTTGGAATAATCAGTTGCATTTTAAACATGTTGAGTTATCAGGGCTTGTAAGATATCCTATTGCAAAACAAACGTGGAAGTAAAGTAGAACAGAAACACCAGACATTGCCAAATTTATTTTGGAGGCTAAAATCACCCCCGATTGAGAATATCTGATGTAGATGTGTCTTGGCAATTCTTAGACCTGTCAGCCCGACGTTCACATTCAAACCACTAAGGAAATCCTTATTTCCTCTA